CTTCACTGACCCTCTTCGGTGCTCCAGTCGTCGGTCATTGCATGAACCGACTAACGAGCCGACGGAGAATGCCAAGTCCGGCCGTGTGTGTGGGCGAGGTAGCGAAGGCTCCCCACAAGGCGCGCGTCGCTGTAAAGCGTCCACCTCCTCCGTCGTTGTTGTGCGGCTCGACTTGACCTCTCCTCCATCGGAGTGAGAGCTGGGTTGCTGATCGGTGAGCCCAGCTAGCTCAACGACGCGCTTGGCGAGGGCGATGCTGTCAAGCGTGATCCCGAGTCATCTGGTGCACCTCGATTCCCGGTAGAAGGAGAGGCCCTGGTCACTCATCTGGAAGGTGGCCTTCATCTCTTCCTTGAATGCCGCCACCTCGCATCCTTGGTGCCGGTGATCACCAAGTCGTCGGCGTGACACCCTGAGGCATTTCCTCCATTGCCCCGTCGGTAGATGGTCGCCTCGTGCGGGCTTTGCTCAAGCCCATCCCTTTAGCGTGGAATCCAACTTGGCATTCCACGCCCTCAGAATCTGCCCGCCGCAAGCCATAGAGAGGCCTTATGCAAGTGAGCACCTGCTGCCTCCTTGCCGGGGATCGCAAATCCCGGTGGTGGTGCACGAGACCCTCCTCCTTCAAGTCGTCGATAAGGAACGCCGACTTGATGTCCATGTGGTGAACACGCTTGACCCTCTGGGCGGCTAAGCGCGAAGGAGTCGCACGGACTCCATCATCCGTGCCACACGGAGCAAAAAGCATCGTCGAAGTCGACCCCCTCCTGCTGCCACGAAACCTCGTGCCACCAAGCGAGCCTTGTGCTTGCGATGGCGCCCGGCTTCATCCCTCTTCAACTTGTACACCCACTTAAGGGTGATCGCGCGGTGACCACGAGGAAGGTCGGCCAAGCTCCCAGTGCGGTTCTTCTCAATCGCATCCATCTCCAATCTGCATCGCGGTAGCGCCATGCCGCGTGTCTCTCGAGCCCTCGCAAACGATCGAGGCTGCGCCGTGCGTCACACGCAAGGTGTAAGCTGCGCCTCCAGTCGTGAGGCACCGATCCGGCACCGGTGGTCGCCGAGAAGGTTCTCCACCGTCTGGTACATCAACGGCTCACCGTCGTGGTGTACGCGCCGGCAGCGCTCCTCGTCGTGAGAGAGAGCGGAGTAGCGAGCTCAATCGGGCCGTGCTAAACACACGGTGATGGTGGAGTAGGCGTGCGGAGTGGTGCCTGTCGGTCTTTGAGTGCGTGGCGTTGCTTTACCGTGGTTGAAGAGCTCATCGACGAGGTCTGGCCGGAGAGCGTGGTCTTTGTCGGAGTAGCAGCAAAGCCGGGTCGGTGGAGGCTCGAGAGATGTGGGGTAGACGCGCTTCGCCGAAGAAGAAGCGCCTACTCCCCGGCTCCTCGAAGTGGACGTGCTTGATAGTGAAGTCGTCGTGACGTCGGAGCCGAAGCCGCCGTCCATCGCCTTGTCCCACGCCCATCCTCGCCTTTCGCCGAACACAACTCGCAGCTGCCGCTGCACACGCTGCGTGTCTTGGTCGAGGATGCGGTAGGCCTTCGAGCCCTCAGCGTAGCCGATGAACACTCCCCGAGTACTCCCGCCGTCGAGCTTCTTTGATGTGGCCAAGCTCCTTGGCGAATGCGAGGCGACCAAGACCCGCAAGTGGGGAGACCGTCGGCTTGCGCCCATGCCAAGCCTCGTCTGGCGCGCCCCACCGTCGGCGCCTTGGTAGGCGGCGGCGGTTGAGGATGTAGACGGCCGTCACCACCGCCTCTCCCAGAAGATAGCCGGCATCCCCTCTGCTGAGGAGGGCTGAGCCATCCCACAACCGTAACTTTGGTGTCACGGTAGCGGAGTAGTGGCGCATTGAATGCCCTCGTCGGCAGTGATGCACGCGAATTCAGCCGCCGTGAATTCGCCGCTTTGTGGTCGCGAAGACCTGCCAGCCTTATGGCCGCGCTCGCTCCGCCAGCGGCCTGCGCTAGCGCTACCGATGGCGTCATGACCTCTCTCTTCTGCCGAGGACCATCACCCACATGTAGCGGGAGAGGTCGTCGACGAAGCAGGGAAGTAGCGTCGTCCTCCCGGTGTGGCGGTGTCACCTGGTCACACAAGTCCCGATGCACAAGCTCGAGCCTCTCCTTGGCTCGAAAAGCTCGCCTCATTGGGGAAAGGGGAGTCGCCCGCTTCGTCAACACGCAGACGTCGCAGAGCTGCTCCACATGGTCGAGGCAGCAGGCCTCGCACCATCTTCGTGTGGCATTGAGCCGCTTGAGGCCTCAAAGTGAAAACGCTGTGTTATCGCGCACGCCTCGTCGCCCCGACGAAGCGGTGAGACAGAGGGTTGTGCCACTGCACGTTAAGAACGTAGAAGTCGATTTGCGCTTCGGATACCTTGGCAAGAAGGCGGCGACGACGATCCCAAATCCTCATGACTCCGTCCTCAACCACCACGCGAACCGTTCTCATCCGGTGTCCCAAAGGCGATGATGATGGAGTTCCTCAACGCGGGGATGTAGTAGACTCTCGGTGAGCACTGTGCTCACCAGAACGCGATAGTGAAGATGGCCGGAGCCGGCGCCCTTGATCTCCACGCCGGAGGCATCCCCAAACTTGAGCGGAGCCTCGAGCGCTAGAAGTCAAGCTCGGTGAAGAACTCCGTCGACCGATCATGTGATGGGTGGCGCGGTGTCGAGCACCACCGTCGATCTTGTCGTTCACCGAGCTGTCGCCGAGGAGGCGTGTGCTTTGGCTCGTCGAGGTGGAGGAGAGAGCAGCCGCGCGATCTTGCCGTGGAGGTAGCTTCGATCTTGGCATGTGCCATGAACAGAGCGGCTCCTCCTCCTCACTTTGTGCGGCGTGGGCTGGGCGCGTCGTGGTTGTCGGCGATCCTTGGCCCAATAGCCAAAGGCAGCGCCGATTCTGGCGGCGGTGTCGTCTCGTCTGCGGCTTGTGCTGCCGGCTGGCCGCCGCCTGGCGCCTCGCGGGCATCACCCTAAGACGTCCTCGCGCCCCGGCACTGGCGTCTCTGCGGCATTTTTGCGCGGCTTGCCACGCTTATGCGGCCGCTTTGTCGCGGAAGAAGGCTCCCCCTTCCTCCGATCACCACGGCTGGCAATTGCTCCCAGTGAGAAAATGGTGATCGTGGCTCATCATCGCCGGCGACCTTGAGGCGACCTATCGCCTCCTCGATCGACATCGTGGAGAGATCCAGCGGCGACTTCGTCGAAGCGAGCCATCGCTTGTACTTCTCGGGGACGCGGCGGAAGAGCTTTTCGACGCCTCTCTCCTCGCGCCGTAGGTGTCGTCGTGAATCGCACCATCTTCTCGCACAGAGTGTTGAGGCGGAGAGCAAAGTCATCAACGTCCTCACCGGCTTGAAGGCCGGTTCTCCCACTCCTTGCTGCGAAGTGCTGCGGCGTGGACTTCTGGGCGTGATCATCGCTGCCGTCGCGTCTTGACGATGGCGTCCCAAGCCTCCTTGACGATCCGCTTCTTTGAAAGCGAAGCGCATCTCGGGCGGGACTGCGGCGATGAGAGCATCCGGCGCCCGTCGATCTAGGTCGTAGTCGGCGCCGCCATACCGGATTGCCTCCCACATGCGCACTGGAGCTTTACCCTCATCACCGCAGCCCACTCGGCGAAGTTGGTCTTGGTGAGGTAGTGGGACCGGCGTCACGACAACGACACTGGAGCCGTGGTAACCACCAGTACCGATCCGGGAGAGAGCCACGCCGCTGTGAAGGCCGCGCTCTCCATCGACCCGTCGGTACCGATCCGGAGAGAGAACCCGCCGCCTGTGAAGGCCGCGCTCTCCATCGACCCGTCGCCCACCGTTGCCGCGCGCCTCCCGAGGAGCGCCGCCGCCGTCGCGCCTCCTCAGAGCGCCACCGCGCGTCCGCGCTGTCTGAGGCTGCCGCTGCGCTTCGTGGCGTGCTTGGCTCAGAGAGCGCCACCGCCGTCGCGCCTCCTCCAGAGCGCCGCCCGGCGCGTCGCGCTGTTGCAGGCTGCCGCCACGCTCGTGGACGTGCGCGGCTGCCCACTGCGCCGCCCGCGCTCGCGCTGCCTCCCTCTCTAGCAGCTCGAGGTCTGCGTCGGCGGTGTCGTCGGTGAAATGGAGCTGCCGTCTTTGCCGCTATGAGCCTCGACCTCGCCGCCGCCGCCGCCTGCCGCTTCCGCGCTGCTCGCTGCTCCATTGCCAACCTCGGCGCCCTTGCCGCGCCGCGGTGATCTCTGCCGCCGCTTCTTCGCGTTCTCTGTTGCGGCAAGACGCACGCCGCGTGCTCGAGGCGATCGGCCTGAGACCGCGCCTGCGGACATGATGCGCCTAGGGGGGCTGCTGCGTGGGGAGAGGGCTGCCAGACGAAATGGGAGAGGAGTGAGCAGGCGGCCGGAGCGCTGCTGCTACTCTCGGTGGGGGCATTGCGATGAAGGTGGGCAAGGGGATGAGCAGGAGATGCTCAGGCTACAGGATACTACAGCTCCGATACCACTTGTTAGTCGTTGAATTCTCACTCTTGGTAGTAGGAGAATTCTTACTCTCATCGAGAGAGGATGACACTAGGAGTTAGGGCAATTTTCTTGTCTATTTCTCACACAAGCTCACACAAATGCCATACCAACCTGAGGGGTTGGGGTTACATATTTATAGGCTGCTAGCCAGCCAAGCATATGCCAAGATGCTAGTCTAAGATGCTAATATGTTGTCCTAGCTAAGATGCTGTCCTCTAGTCTAAGATGCTGTCCTCTAAGATGCTGTCCTCTAGTCTAAGATGCTGTCCTAAAAACAGAAAAACAGCCACAAGGACCATGTGAGCAACAACAGCCCCACAAAGACCAGCCACACATGACTTATCCATCACATTGGGCTGTGATCCCCAAGCCAATTAGCTCCCAATATCATGTCATGGCACTGAAGTGGTAGAATTCTTGTATCATAGCTGAAACAATGGCCTTGTACATGCCATTGTAACCGTGGAATGAAATGGTCAGATAACATCTTTGTAGTATCAGCAGATGTGAAAAGTAATGGTTAGAAAAGGTTTCTGCTCTTGCTGAATCTGAGCTGCCAGTTCCTGACTGACAAAAGTCCCTGCACTCCCAGAATCTAATAGAATGAGCACCTCCTTGTTGCCAATAAACCCTCTCAGCCTCAAGGTTCTATTCTTCTTAGGGATCCCAGAACTGACAGACTGCTTAACTGCCATGACAACCTGACCAGGGTTTGGTTCAGTATCCTCTTCAGAGGAGTCATAAACTGGCTCAGGATCAACTTGAACTGCCTCTAGTAACTCCTGGATAACATGCAAGGGAATCTGAGTTGGGCATTTGTGCTTTCTGCTAGTCCATTTTTCACCACAAGTGAAACAAAGATTGTTAGCTCTTCGGTAAGCTTTCAGAGCTGACAACTTGTCTGATGAAGCTGAGTTCGGTGTATCAACATGCTTAGGCTCCTCTTTTCTGAACTTACTCTTATCCATTCTAGCATTGCCTCTGACTGGCCCTTTGTATGAGTCCCTGAATTCAGATCTCGGCTGTGCTTTGCTTTTGCTTGCTTCCAATTCTGCTTCCTGCAAATGAGCTAAAGTGCCAGCCACTTCTAGATTTGGGGGTCGATATAGAATAAGTGGGGCTCGAATCTCCTCCTTAAGTCCTCCCAAGAACCGGGTCACAAAGAACACATCGTCATAAGATTGATTATAGAGCAATATACTATGAGCCAACTGATCAAACTTGGTCTGATACTCTGCTATTGAGCCTGTTTGTCTCAAGCTTTCCAACTATTTCATGTGCAGAGGGTACTGTTCCTTGTCGAAATGAGCCAGAACTGCTGCATGCATAGCTTCCCAGGTCTTGAACCGATTCCTCAATTGTGTTGTCTGCAACCAAATTGCTGCCGACCCAACAAAGGTAGCGAACCGTGGCTTCATTGCATCAGATACGCCATAGATCTCAAAATAAATCTCGCATTGCTCCTTCTACATGCGCAGATTGACTCCATCGAATTTGGGGAAATCCATTTTAGGCGTAGAACCAGCACGAGATGAATGAGAATACGAACCAGAAATAGCATCCGCGGGAGGAATAGAGGGGTCAGGAACCATACCCTGAAGAGTAATCGACGGAGGGTCAGATCCCGATCCCGGGATCGGTCCGAGAATCCCTCCGCCCGCGCCGTGCCCATTGGGCTACTCTCCGGAGGAAGCAGAAGGGCGCTCCCCCGATGATAGAGCGTTGTTGAGGTCGAAACTTCCCAGAATCCACCCCGTTGGTGGAGGCGGTGGCGGTGGCGGTGGTGGCGTCGGCGTCTTCTCGAGGTGGTTGATGCGCGTAACCGCCTCCGTCGTCTTGGTGAGCAGCGACCCCAGCGACGCGATGACGATCGTCCTCCAAGCTTCTAACCCGTTCATCTTGTCCAGCATCTGCTGCATCATCAGCTGGACGAACTTGAACTCCTGCGAGAGCTCCTCCACGTTCTGCGCCATACGAGCTTGGATTGAGGGCTTCATCTTCTTCGGTGCCAGGTCGACTCCAACCAAATCCGGCGAGAAAAAAAAATTCTCCCCAAGGAACCGAAGGCTCCGGATATCAATTGTTGTGACCACGGAAGGTCAGCAACGGAAGAATGGATAGATTGGGTAGAATTTGGGGCCAGAACAGTAAGAATAGCAATTGGGTCGAGAGGAACAAAGGACTCGAGGGAGACGATGGTGGTTAGATTTCAGTTATTCGACAAGCCTCAATTCTCCAATACAGCCGGCTCATATACTGCCCGTTCACTGTCACTCACGCAGGTCGAGCCCTTGCTCCTAATGGGCTAAACCCTCCTTACATAGACCAAAACCAACATAACGGAACTTAACGGCTACTCCATCTTCCGGCGCACTTAGGTGTGGTTTGGTTGAAGCTTTGGCTTTTTTGAACTTAAAGCTCAAAAAACTCAACTAAAGGTTCTTTTGGATGGTGCTTTTTTTTTTTAGAAACATTTTTTTTACGTAGTTCATTTTTTGAAAGCTGATTTCCATTTTGGCTTTCGCTTTTCAAAATTGGTGGAATAAAAAAGCTCTTCCATAGTTGTTTGAGAGATAAAGCCAGGTATATTTATACTTGTTTCAAACAGCTTTCGACGCGTGCAGAGCCGCCATAGCTTAACCAAACATGGTGTCAGCCACTCTTCAGCGCGTGCAGAGCCGGTTCCTGACAGTACCCCGACTCCACGAAACTGAACGGAGGCACCACCTCTCTCCAGGGCCACACGTCAGACACGGCAACCGTTTCAGCCGTCAGGGAACCGACCAGGTAAAGTAAACCCATGTAAGGCCTTGTCTAGATTCTAAGGTATTAAATGTAGATAAAAAAATAACTAATTATATAGTTTAATTATAAATTACGAGACAAATCTTTTGAGCCTAGTTAGATCATAATTAAACAATAATTATCAAATACAAACAAAAATACTACAATATCAAATACTGATTTCTAACGAGCATCTAAGACCTAAAGTAACCGACCAGGTTCCAACGGTCCCGCACCGCACCTGTATCATTCTGTTGGGCCCGCCCGGTGGGCCGGGAATAGAAGCCACGCGTCGGCGCCGCACGTGGATTTATAAGCTGCCCGTCTCGCCGTCTGTTTTTTTCAACCTGCCCCCCTCTTCTCTCCTCGAGCTCAGCACAAGGACACACAAAACGCGCAGGTGAGGTGAGGGAATCCCTCGGAGCCCATTCCAATTCCTTTCCTCCGCTCGCGGCTCGCCTCCGACCGACCCCCAAAGCGGCGCTCCTGCTTTTCGGCCATTGCGCCATCCGCCCACAAGCGATTCGGATTCTCCCTAGCCTTCCAGGTGCGCGCGCGTGCGATCCCTAAGCTATTCCTCTGTTTTTAATCTCTCTTATTATGAGGTTGAGGTCTCGAATCCTGGTTTATGCGGTAATTGCTAGAGGGGAGTTTTGTGCACTTGTGCAGAACTTCTTCCCCTGTTGTTGTTTAAAGTCCAGAATAGCTCTGCAGATTGGAGTGCTTCTGATCGGCCTGTGAGGCTGGGGGGATTCCGCTGCGTTCTTCTACAATGATGTGATTCTAGCCGAGTGGCGTGCATTTTTTTTTCGCTTGTTCTAGTGCTCCAAGCTCCACAATCTCGTCACGGTTTGTTTCTCCAAGCTCCACAATCTCGTCACGGTTTGTTTCGGATTCCTACTGTTGGTGTTGGTTGTGTTTCTCTACCTGTGGTCTATCATCTAGTTTGATCAGTTTTTAGTTTCTAGGTTGCCATGATCAGTGAGTGCATCTAGGTCTGATTCCTGAATTTAACTTGATTGATTGGTGACTTCAGTTTGGGCGCTTTGAATGATTTCAGATTACTCGGGCCTTATTTCAAAAGAAATGATTCGTGGTCATTTATGGCTACTTTTTTCTACAAAAGCAATCAAAATAATGGCTACCTGTTTTGGATTGTTCTAGGATGCTGGCAGGTGAGGTGATTTATTGGCAAATTAGCAACAGCAGTAATTCATTTTTACGTAATTGGTAGGAGTAGTAAGCCTTATGTCAGATTGATAGTGACTGGCATCTGTTTCCGCGCACTTGAGAAGGGATGGACGTCATGAGCAAGAATCTTTCTAAAGCAGCTAACCATCAACCTCTTTCAGCTTCACCTGGTTTTGTTTATGATCCCATTTGAAGCCGTTTCACTTACTTGGAATAGAATGGAATCACACCCTTTGCCAAAAATGCTGTACTGCATTTGCCTTTTGCCAGTGAAAGAACATAGTCAGAGCTTCAGAGCACACATTAGAATGTCTAGCCTTACAGTGTTTAACCATCTAAGTAGCATATCATTAATATTGCAGGTTGCAGGCTTAAATGGAGAACAACGTTGAGAAAAATAACATGTTGAAAGAGTTCTATATCCCAACTTATATTTTCATACCGGAGTCTCCAGTGGAGCATGCATCTCAGATACCTACTTGTCCAGTGGTTGTTTTTATCAACACCAAAAGTGGAGGTCAACTGGGACGTGAGTTAATTATCACATACCGTAAGCTTCTCAACCATGCCCAGGTAGATATTGTCTATTTTTTGCAGATATACTTGTTTGGTACCACATTGATCTTGCATTTTTTACTGCAGTAAATGAAATTATGGTTTTGTGGCTAGGCCTAACCATGTAATTATGTAAAATTCAGGTATTTGATCTGCTTGATGAAGCTCCAGACAAGGTCTTGCACAGACTATACAGCAACCTGGAAAGGCTCAAGCATGGTGGTGACACTCTTGCTTCTGAAGTCTATAGGAGACTAAGGCTAATAGTGAGTGCAATCTGGCAATTTCATATTCGATCCAAGATCTCCTGCTAATATTTTTACCAATATTTTGTATGTTTGTTTGTTTGAATAGTCCTAACATGCTTCTATTTTATCATGGAAATCCAATCAGGTTGCTGGAGGTGATGGAACGGCAGGTTGGTTGCTTGGAGTTGTATCTGATCTTAAGTTAGTACGTCCACCTCCTGTTGCTACAGTTCCGCTAGGAACTGGAAATAACTTGCCATATTCTTTTGGATGGGTGAGTTTAAAAATCAAAACAATCCTTTTCTTCCTATTAGACAATCTTTACTGCAGTACTTGCATAGATCTGCTTTAAGCCTTTGATATATACTTGATGATAAGATCTTTAATGCATTCAGCCTTATGCAAAGGCGAAATATTTTGTAGTCCTTTTCTCCTTACATTGCAATTTTTTAACTTTAGTAGCTTTTCTGGTTAAGTCTAGAGAATTTTGGGTAGTAAACTCCTCTTTATTGCCTTTTGTGGAGCTAGCTTTCGTGTTAGGCTGTTAGCTGCTAAGGAACACTTTATGTGACTGGCGGCCCATAATATCAAACAATTAATATGCAGGGAAAGAAAAATCCTGGAACAGATCATGATTCGGTCATATCATTTCTTCAATTAGTAAGGGAATCAAGAGAGATGAACATTGACAGGTGGGTTTGCTTTTTACAGCCTTCACTATCTTTCTGTATGAAATCTTCATATGGTATATGGGTCTTGACTAATATTGGAATCATTACAAGAATTCAGCTGGCACATTGTCATGAGAATGGAGGGCCCAAAAGATTCTCCTTGTGATCCAATCGCACCTCCTGACTTGCCTCATTCTTTGCATGCATTTCGCCGTGTGCCCAAGGCAGATCCACAAGATATGGTAACAATGCTGGACATTACCATTTCTTTTCCTTAGTGTTAGCATAGTTACTGCCTTTATCTACCTTTGCCTTTCTTTTTGGACATGGCTGTTGTTTCCCGCTTTCTCCTTCGTAAGAATATGATCCATCAGCTTTGCTATATTTGAATTACATGTTGATATATATGTAAGTCATTTTAGCTTTCTCCTAAGTCAAACTTCTTTAACTTTGATGAAGTTTATAGAAAAATGTACAAACATCTACAACATCAAACTAGATTCATTAGATACACTATTAAATATTTTGATAGTGTATTTATCTGATATTGTAGATGCTAATATATTTTTCTATACACTTGGCCAAAGTTAGACAAGTTTGACTTAGGACATATCTAAAACGACTTACAATTTGGAACGGAGGGAGTAGATAATATCTTGAATTATAACAAAAGGGAATAGTACATATCATGCATCAAGAACAACCATTGCTCAAACACGCCTTGCTTGCAGTCTTGTGCTATTCTATATATACTCCATTACTTGAACTTCAAATATTTAGTTGGGATCTTTTCAACTTGTTGAGTAGAACATAAGGATTAATTAACCTTTTCAACTTATTGAATAGCACATAATGTATTTTGAAGTAGATACTTATTTTGTGCAATATGTTTTTCTCTGCACTGTTTGAATTTCTTAAATGTCAGTTATCACATAAGAGAAAATTCTTGTAAAAATGATTGTGAGAAAAGTTGAACTAATTGTCAATAATATTATTTGAAAACAAACAATTTGAACTATGCTATGCTATGCCATGTTTTCTGTATAATCTTTTTATCTGCATGTTCCCAGGAGTATTCTTACACATTTCGCGGGGGATTTTGGAATTACTTCAGTATGGGTAAGTTCCTTGTTCCAAAAAGATGTATGCTTTAAGTTGTGGCTCAATACCTTTTGTTGATTTTTTTTAATAAAATGGAAAGAAGAAACTTTTCTCCTTAGCTAAAATGGCAGTTTGAAAGAGCTTCTTTTTCCGTCGCAGGAATGGATGCCCAAGTGTCTTATGCGTTTCATTCTGAGAGGAAACTGCATCCAGAGAAGTTCAAGAATCAGTTGTCCAATCAGGTGAAATAAGCTGGTGTGCTTTATTTATTTTCTTAGTGCTGGTCATTCCTTATAATTGATTCTCATTTATGATTTACGTATACGTTTAGCAGTACATAAACCAATCTCTTTGCTATTCTGTACTGCAGAAAACATATTTGAAGCTGGCATGTACACAAGGATTGTTTTGTACCTCTCTGTTTCATCCAATGTCACGGTAATTCTC